TTTGTGACGATATATATATATATATGACGATATATAGATATATATAATCAGTGAGGGGATTCTGCAGACTGTTGAGGGTTCAGCCTCCTGATGAGTCGGTGAAACTCCGACGAAACAGTTTGTCACAGCCCCTCGTTTGTTTGTTGTCCTGTTCCCCCTCCCCCTCTGCCTACGGTTTACCGGGCAGTTCTGTTTGTGACGATATATATATATATATATATAAAACTTACCTGAATCGGTGATTTCTAACCGTAGGTTATCAAGATCAACCGCCAGAAATCGAAGAATGCAGACAAATGGGACCTGGGGTCTGGTCCCACCTACAGTTGTTGAGTTTAGAAAACTCAACGGTGTGACGCCATTTCGACATTAATAAATTCAAAACAAGAAATAAAAAACCTGAAAAAAACGCTAGAAACAGCTTTTCTCCTTATTCTTTATAACGTAACTCGGAGAAATGAAACATGTCTGGAACAGTCGGAGCGAAAGTCTCCGTGAAAAAGGGATACTCCCCGTGGTGGGCGGACAGGAGGTCACCATTTGTAAAATGGACAGGGACGACGTGGATGGCCAAATGCATTCATTGCCCAAAGAAGGAAACGAGTTTGATGCCAGACAGCCAAACACAGCTGTCAGAGTTCCTCCGTTTCAGGAGGCAATGAGGTCTAAAAAAACAAAAAAAAGGAAAGGCACTGCCGTTGAGAAATGTACCCTACCCTCGGTAGGGTAGTTTTCTCAATGTAAAATGGCTTCCCGCCCAAACCAAAAGGGCCAACGCATACTACAAAACGGATTTCACGTCAAAAAAAAATTCTACAAAATGACTAAATCGAATAGGTTATTCTCCTGTATTTTGGTACTGTTAGATTCGCAATACATCAACGGCAGAGCTCTGTCCCACCATGCCACACGTGATAGAAAGCTCAGCGTTGAGAAAACTCGACGCTGTAGGTGGGACCAGACCCCTGCCCCCCCGGTTTATGTTTTTTTTATTTATTTATTTTATTTTTTTTTGGACCATTTCTCGATTTATGCGTGTCATCCTTGCGCAGGGGCCGTGCTAATCTTGTCTAGGTTCTCTGTATCGTTCCAATTTTAACGGATGTCCCGAAGGACATGGTTTATAATTTCTGTTCTTCCTGACATCTGCGTTGGCCTTCTCAGCACTCTGTAGATTTTATTTTTTTCCCCCCCTTTTGTTTCCCCTTCCCTCTCTTCCTTTCTCTTCTCCTTTCTCCTTTCTCCTTTCTCCATGTTTTCACAGGGCGACGGCCGCGAGCTATCATCATTAAGCTGTCCTGGCCCAAGTTATTTTTTCAGAAATATGTCTGATCAGTGATCGAACTTGGGTCTGAATTTCAATTTCAACAGTTCTTGGGTTTATCAACTGAGCTTGACCCGTCCGTGCACTGTATAGACTTCATGCCGTTGGTCTATGCATTTTGTTGCTGAGTGTAGGCCTGGCTTTGCTGCTGCTATGGTAAAGGAGCATATCTCTTCCTTGACCCTGAGTTGGAAGCGCGGCTGGGTACATACTCCCTTCGTTTTTTTTTTTTTTTTTTTTTTTTTTTTTTTTTTTTTTTTGTTGTTGTTGTTGTTGTGTGTGTGTGTGTGTGTGTGTGTGTGTGTGTGTGTGTGTGTGTGTGTGTGTGTGTGTTCAGATAGGGTGACGGCACGGGCTTGGGACACATCGTTCATTGGTGGGACGGGCCCTAGGTGATTCCCCCGAATAGAACGGACGGTCATTATATAGCTGGATTTAGACTGAA